TTTTTTTTTATTTTTTAATAACAAGATAAACATAAACATACATAACAAAATAAACATAAACATACCACAAAAAACATAAAAAGATCCTTCTTCATGAATTTACATACAGTGCATCGATTGGTTTACCACTTTTTTTTGTGCATCCATTTCCTAGTCACTAGTATAATTATATTACATAATAGCTCATATTATCAATCAATAATTGTATAACCTAATATCATCACTAAAAAAAAATCATTTATAATTTTGTTAATTCATATTTTAACGAGATAACTATAGTTTGCTTAATTTATTTTGCAATAAATCATAAGATCATACCAAATCTACCTTAATAATGTTTTATAAAGATAATATTAAGAAAAAAAAAATTTATGCTAAATCTGAATATTCTATCATTATGTTTTATTATCTAACCATTGATAAAAAAGATCCCAAACTTCATAAAATTGTTTATCTTCTTGTTCTCTGATTTCAAATGTCAATTTACTCATTTCAGCACAATCCAATATTTTCTTAATAATTTCTTCTTCTGATGGAGTTTTCTCACTCTTCCAATTCTTAGCAAATACAATCCTAGCCGCTGTTAATATATTTACAATCAAATACTTCAAATTTTTATTATATATATCAGGTAAGATTCCCAATAAAAAAATCTCTGGTTTCAAGTCTAATTCTAATTCTAATTCTCTATTCTTATCTTGTTAATATATACAATATCTTTATTATTATAACACTCCTCTTCTTAACTTGTTTAATTCTATTAACATATTTTCTATATTTCACTAGTCTATTAGCTATTTCTAGCTTTTTCCCTAGCCATCGATAAACTAGTTCCCCTATCTTATAATATTAATTGCAATCTCTTTAATTAATCTCTTTAATTAATTAATCTCTTTAATTGGAAGTGTTAAACTATTCATTTCTGCACATTCTAATATTTTTTTTTGTAAAACATTTTTTTTTATTTTTTAACAACAAACAATCAAACATAAACACAAAACAACAAATAAAATCTTCTTTCACTTGTACAGTGTGTCGGTTGGTACATATTTTTTGTGCACAATATCTATCGTCTTCCCTCTTAGATTTAAATTTATATTCATATTATATTAATCAACTTTCCATATAATGTTATGTTATCATTACATCATCATTAGACTTTAGTTGCAAGTTCGCATTATCCTTTTTGAGCAAATCTCAAATTTATACAAATTCTATCTTATATTATACTTCCTTCCATAATAATCCATTAAAACATATCATTACCATTATTTTATATTTACTATTGTATTATATTTATATTGTAATATATTTCATTTTTCTATCTAACCATTGATAAAATATATCCCATATCTTATAATATTCTTTTTCTTCCTGCTCTCTAATTGCCAGTGTCAATCTACACATCTCAGCATATTCTATTATTTTCTTTATCACCTCCTCCTCTGTTAGAATTTTTTTCATTTTTCCAATTTTGAGCGAATACAATTCTAGCTGCAGTTAAAACGTTAATAATCAAATATGTCAATTCTCTGTTGTAATCTTCAGGTAAGATACCCAATAAAAAATATCTCTGGTTTCAAGTCTATATGTTGTTTTGTCATTTTTTCCAGCCATGTATGAATTTTAAGCCAGTATCTTTTGGCTTCCACACACATCCACCACATATGATGGTATGATCCAGGTATCTGATGACAGCACATTGTAATATTGATGCAGCCTAGAATGGCTTTGGCTTTTTTTTTTTGCGGGGGGTGGTCACTGCTGGGTTGCACTTAGGTGGCTACAAAAATCTAACCATCCTGATATGCAACCAAATGTCACGGTTTGTGCAGAGGCACCTGTTTGGTCCTCAACTCATTGCGCATTGTGCAAACGGAAATCACAAAGGGAATCCTGGAAAGCTCCCTCTACTGAAGAAAGCTTGAACCGAACACCAGGACATCTGACAATGAGCCTCTTGTCCATGCTTGTATCTGAGCGCAGAAAGGAGAGAGAGAGATAGAGAGAGAGAGAGGGAGGGAGGGAGGGAGGGAGGGAGGGAGAGGGAGGGAGGGAGAGAGAGAGAGGCAGAGGCAAGTGAGTGAGGCTGATTATAGTCTGCCTCTCAAGATTCACAGCTTTTCAAGGTAGGAGGTTAATATTCTCACATGTCATTTGGGCCCCGCTAGCGCTACTGATGGCTCATTGAATCAGGCAGAAAATTATTTCCTTCTGCAACAGAGGACATTAACTTCAAAAGAACCCAGCCCGGGTCAAGGCGGCTCTCCAGTTCAATTAATGAGCTGGGATCAGCAGAAGTGGCCTGTAGGTGAGAAGGGACTGAAGCTTTTGACAAAGCAGACTTTTTGGGGGGAGGGGAGGAGGGGGGGAAACACCCCTCTCTGTCTCTCTGTCACCTTCCAGTGCCGAGTTTTATGTCAAGCCATTGCCTCGGGTTGACCTGGCTTAATCCTGGCGGTGTGGGTTTTTTTTCCACTCCCTTGATCTCTGTAATGGGACAAAAGGATCTGCCTGGCTGAACCTCCCTGAAAGCTGTCCCACCAGGCGCTCAGAAGAAGAGCACAAGCCATGATCCGGTTTATTAATCACTGTTTTCTCAGCAAAGGAAGGAAAAGAACCCCACGTCTTAGAGCTATTCCCCAAACTGAACAGGTTAGAGTTCTGCGTAGGAAGGCAGTTTGTTTTTCTTTTTTCTTTTAGAAAAAGGTGCAGAAGTTATAGCCTATTGAAAGCATGTAGAAAATAGGTTAAGTGATTGATTAATGAGAGTTAAACTTTACTATTTTTACTGGTCAATAGAATTGATTGGGGAGAGGACCGGAATATATAGAAACTTGGAAATCAACAGCAGCCCTAGAAAATAATGTGTAATACACACACAATGCCTACCTTTCTATTTATCCTCAAGCTGGCCAAGCAGTTATCCATCCATCCATCCATCCATCCATCCATCCATCCATCCATCCATCCATTCGCTTTTAACTTGCTCTAATAAGAACTGAAAATAGCTTTACCAGATTAAGATATTTAACACATACAAAGTGCTGAATTTGTCACATTTCAAAGCCAAAATGAATAATAATACCAATACCAATGATGCTAGGTTCTGTCAGTTTCTCTTGATTTAAATCTCAGGGAATAGTTTATAAGTAACAACAAAAACTTGCAATTAAATATGAATGTTAACTGATGCTTTAGAAAGTTCAAATGGAATAATAAAAACAACACAATTGGAAGACTAGAGGTCTTCTATCCCACCCCCTGCTGAAGGAGGAGACCCTGCATAATTCCAGAAATTATTGAAGTTACTGTTCACTCATTACAATTGTCTCATTCTCTTACCAAAAACTAAACATAACTAAACATAGCTTTTTAAAGCATTAAAGTAAGCCTTAATTCTTATTGAGGGAAACTGATGCTTGGAAATTTTGGTATTACTAAGGATTATCTGGTTACAGATTAATGCTGGGGACATGTTTTACTAGGAGTTATACAACTTGCATAGGGTGGCCCCAAAGATGAGAAGGCAGTCTGAAATGGAGGTGACAAAGAAGAGGAGTGCCAGAGAAAACAAAGTTTAAAAAAAACCCCACCTGCTTACAGGTTAAAATCAGCTCTTGTGGTTTACTCACCCTTAAGTCCTCTTCTGGCATTGTGAATAGAAGGTACCACAATACAGATATTCTGGATTGAACCACATCAAGTGAACAATGTGTGCATGAGAGAGAGAGAGAAAGATGGAGAACCCAGGACGCCAGATTCATATTCTACCTTTTCCATCAGTATTTCTCAACATTGGCATGCACTTCAGCTCCCAGAATGTCAAAAGTTGAAGTTCACACATCTCACAGCTGCCAAAGTTAAGACATACTGTTCTACGCTGCTGTTTCCCTAACATTTCAAAGTTGCAGAGTTCGTTTAATGGTCCCCTGCAGTGCAGGGCCACTCGTCTGCAAATTCCCTCTTTTGAAGTTTTTAACCCAAGGCTAAATCAACAAAAAACATTTGCTCACTCCATTCATAAACATTCTGTTTGACACTCTCTAAATATTGTGCATGGGCCCTAGCGTCTTCACCTCCTCCAAGTGTTTTTTTCCCCATCTGTTCAACCTCTCTTCCTTTTTCTT